GCGCCAAATGTCCGCGGGCCCAAGTTCGAGCCCTTGCCCCGCCCACCCCCCTCGGTCATGCCCAAATCCCCAGGAGCTGTCATGTGCAACAAGAATGTCGGTGCTTCCAACGAAGGGGCGGCCGCAAATATGTCGGCGTTCTTTGGAGCTGCATCTAACGCGCTGAGCCGCCAGGCGGGAGCAGCACTCAGGGTTGACGTCGCCGGCCTTTCGGACGCCTATCCGCCTCGTGCTCATAAGAGTTTCGCGCCGGTGGCGGCCCGGCATTCCGCCCCCCTTGCTTCTCAGAGAGAGACCTCGCATTTCCTGACTTGCTCCGCCTCCTCCTCCCAGGCCTGTAAAGTGAATTCTGAATCGAGATCGCATCCAGACGCGTCGCCCAGAGGCCCGAGCTCAACCACCCCCGCGATGGACTACGTACATGGCCCCCTGGCCCCCCTGGTGAGCGGGCGCGCTTCTGCAGCGCCCGCACGCGCCCCGCGCGCCACTTGGGTTCTGGAACACCCCGGGCGTTGACGTGCTCCAAAAATCCAGTGACGCCTGGTTCGCTGAAGCGAATATCTGGGTCGCGCGACCTGAAGGGGCGCCCGGGTCGATCGCCGGACGTCCTTTGGCTCGCCAGTCCTTGCGCCATAGCTCCGCGCAGTCGGTCTGGGTATACTTCTGATCTCTCCACTCGGCCTCTTCCACTAAACTCGTCGTGTAGATGCTGGGCTCGGCGCTGCGCGCTGGGCTGCTGGTCTGAAAACCTGGTGGCCCCTTTCTTGTCAGTAAGAGCTCCCTCTTACTTTGCAGCCTGCTTCATATTAGAGCAACCTGTTTATCCGTCAAATGTCTGCGCCCCTTCACGCTGTGGCCCACTTGCAATGGCTCGCTACCCAGCTCGCGGCTTCTGCGGCATGTCCACGGCGACAGTAAAACGATCTGTTCTTTTGTATTTCGCACAGGCCCATACAAACCTCAGCGGCTTCACCCAGCAACGCAGCACGCCCTTCATCCTGCCTGGCCCAGGTCTCTTCGAGCGCAAAATTTGCGACCTGATGAAAGCCGCGCGCATTGGGTTCACCGTTGACATTCGGGCTGATTCGCCGTTGATAACATTCCTGGCTGTTGCGCGCGTTCACCGCCATGGCATCATCGCGGGCCCCCGCGCTCATCGCGCGCAATCAAGTCCAGGGCCAATCACTTGCCCCACTTCCACCGGCACGTCGGCAACTCGCACTCGCGAGTAGGCCTCGGGAGCGCGCGACTGCGCGCTGCGCTGGCCTTTGCCGAGTAACCTCGCAGCCCCCCGGACCTCGCTGACCCGACGTCCAAATGTGCGTCGGGCAACCGCTCCGCCGCGTCGGAGTCAAGCTCCACCATGTCCAACCCGGCACGTACCTCCTCGGCGCTTAGACTGTCATGTGCTTAACCTACACGCTCAGGTTCACTCTCCGCGCTTCTGCCATTGGGCCCCGAAGCTCCTCGAAGTTCCTTGTCCTCGCGCTGCATCTCTCCGCCCTCGCCCCCTTTCCACCCCTTGCGCACGAGGCCCTCGTCGCCCCATGCGCCCGCTATATTTCTAACTGCTGCTAACCTTGGCGGAATAACGCGGGCTGGGCGCCCGTCGCCACCGACGCCCGAGATAATGCGAGACTCAATCCGTCCCATCCAAGGTCGTCGCGGACAATCCCCTGTAACCTCTAAATTTCCAGCCGTCGGTTAGATCCTCCATCTCGTATGTATATTGGCCAATGCCCAACTTGTTGGGACTCTAGCGCAATGTCTGTAAACGCATGCATGTCTGCGATCTTTTCGCGGCGTTGTCGAACAGCTAACCAGCCAACGCCCCGCTCGTCGAGTGGCGCCGCCCTATCCAAATCCAGCCTGGAAGCGCCGAGCCCCATGCTCATCTGGGCGGCTCCCAACCTCTCCAGGACGCTCGGATCGTCTCGTCTTCTGAGCCAGTCGATGACGCGTTCACGGCACTCCGCGCTGCGCAGTTCCTGAAACTTCCCCCCCCTGGCTATCGCGCTGCATCCATGGCGCCCCGGTGCGGGCCCCATAGCCACGCGCTCGGACCTGTTGACGGCAATCCCTCAGCTGCCACCGGCCTGGCGCCCGCGGCCGCGCCTGGATTCAATGCCGCCATCGGTCGCATCACCCTGGCCATAGCATGCAGCGCAAGCGTGTTGGGGCAAGGTTGCCAGGGTAACCCTACTCACGTTGTTGACCGCATCTAGATCCTACTTGTTCTCGTCGCTTCCTCTGTCTGACCTCGTGAGACTTGGTGGCACCCTCTGGAGTGCCGGCGATCAACTCTTGGCCTGTTTCATGCACTCTCGGGAAGACACCACCGCCCGCCTTGCTCTGAGGTCTTCGCCTCACGATTTACGTCAAGCCTGCAAGTTCATGAACAAATCTCCAAACACAGGCAACGGCTTGTTCAGCCGCCGACGTCGGCACCTTCCGTGGGACGTCTTACCATTTGTATATGTATCGTAAAATCGTAGATCTTAGAAGATACATAAACCACTAGCTACGGTATAAGACCGCGTTTTCTCCAAACCAATGTTTAATATATGTCGTGCGAAACACTCTATCCCGTCCTGAATTGGCTTTTCTTGTTCTGATTGCCCTCTCGGATTCACCGTTCGATTGGGAATCTCGGGTCGGGCGAACTTCTACTCCCATGATGAAATCGCCCTTGGCCCCAACTGCTTCCGCGAATGCCGCAACGGACGCGGATGATTCCCCATCACGTAGGAGGACCACTCTTGCGTGTTCAGCGAAATCATTTGAAAAATATGGATGGAATATGGACCAATGCCCTTTTTGCACCAGCAAGCCGGCTCCAGGTTAAGGTGGTGCTCCGTCGGTGCATGACGATGATAGGGATCCCTTTGCCCTCTTCCTCACTGTTTCCTGTTTTCCTGCTTAGCCGCGAGATCTTCAACTATGATCACCAGAGCCGGTATACCTTGCCTTGGCGCCCCAACTTCGGTTGGGCAAATGAGTTGTATTGCGAAACGCAACATTTACTGTGCTCAGTCTCAGGACATACAGAATCCTTTTGGGTACCTCGGCGTCGTCCCCAACAAACAAATCCTCCACGTTACTGAGCTCACTGGCCCCATCCTCCTCTTGGCCGTCCTGCAAGTTTCAGACGATTGGATGTCGACTGGGGTTTGCGGGCTCAGCCAGACTCATGAACCAGGTCCGCCATGAGTTCCCTGCCTGGGCAAGCCACTTTATCTCTCCCCCCTAATATATTCCACCTTCCTCGCCCCCCTTGATTCGCAGCCCCTTTGGGAACCTATGGTTCCTGATGGTTGGCCCCGCAAGTTCCAAACGCGTCGCATGTCTCACATGTCCCACTAAAGTCCCCCAAGTCCCACAAGTCCCGCCGGTGCCATGGGACCCACAGGTCTCGCAGGTCCCATAGGTCCCACAGTCCCACAGGTCCGACAGGTCCCATAGGTTCCACAGGTCCCACTGGTGTCGCAAGTCCCACAAGTTTTTTTTCCAACTGCGCATAAGACGCTGGGGTCTCTTGTGGAGTTCCAGGTCGGCAGTGACTCGAGTCCGCGGATGGAGAATTACCCGAGACGTATCACCCTGCGCTTCCCGAGGCGACTATTTCGATGAACGCTCCAACCAGATGAATACGGTAACACGTGCGAAGACAATCTAGTCCGCTGGGCCTCCCAGGAAACCGCGGGAATTGTGACCATTGCGAAATTCTAAGGCAGCCGCGAGGTCGGCTGGGTGCGCGATAGTGGAGACAATTGCGCAGTTCGCAGCAGCCGAGGGGGCTGCGAGGTCTCGGCATGGTCCGCGTACACCTGCACTGCGCTGGACCTCGCAAGAACCCACGAATATAAAAACAAGTATCGAATTCGCAGCCTCCCATGGAGCCGCGAGGTCCCGGCTAGGTCCGCGTACACCTCCACTCCTCTGGACCTCCAGGAGCCCACGAAAGTGGAGACCATTGCGCAGATCTGGGCTAGGTGCGCGCACAACTCCGCTCAGCTGGACCTCCCCAAAGCCAGCGAAAACGGCGACAATGGCGCAGTTCGCAGTCTCCCAAGGGGCCGCGAGGTCTCGGCTAGGTCCGCGTACACCTCTACTCCAGAGGACCTCCAAAGAGCCTGCGAACGTGGAGACAACTGCGCAGTTCGCAACCGCCCACCGAGCCGCGAGGTCGAGCCCACAAAAAGTGAAGATAATTGCGCAGGTCGAGGCCGCTCAGGGAGCCCCAAAAGATCTGGGCTGGGCTGGGTCCGCGTACAGCTGCACTCCGCTGGACCTCCCAAAAACGCACGAAAATGGCGACAATTGTGCAGTTCGCTGCCACCTAAGAAGCCGTGAGGTCTCGGCTAGGCCCGCGTACACCTCCACTCCGCTGGACCTCGCAGGAGCCCACGAACATGGCGATAATTGTGATCGCAGCCGCCAAGGGAGCCGCGAGGTCTCGGCTAGGTCCACGTACACCTCCACTCCGCTGGACCTCCCAGGAGCCCCAAAAAAGTTGAGACAATTGCGCAGCTCGCAACTACCCAGAGAGCCGCGAGATCTCGGTTGGGTTCGCGTACACCTTCACTTTGCTAGACTTTCCGGGAGCCCACGAAAGCGACGACAGTTGCGCAATTCGTAGCCCCCCAGTAGAAAAGGTGCGAGGAAGGGAGGCAAGGATGCAGGAGGCAGGAAGAGAGGGGAGGAGGAGGGGGGGTGCTTGGAGACCAGTGCTTCATTCAAAACGAAAAACTAACACACAGGAGGGTTGGGGAACAATCAGCGCAGTGGGAAGGGATGGAAGGGAGGTACCGGATGCCAGATGTGGGGCGAGCGCACCTAGCTTGCCCCTTTCCTCTCTCCTTCCTCTTTCCTCCTCCTCCTTTCCTCCTCCTCCTCCTCCTCTTCCTCCTCCTCCTCCTCCTCCTCCACCTCCTCCTCCTCCTCCTCCTCCTCCTCCTCTCCCTCCCTCCCCCCAGGGGAAGGGGAAGGTCCTCTGTCGCGGTGCCCGCGGAGCCCGGGCTGGGCTGGGCTCCAGAGGAGGAGGCCTTGTCCGACGTCTTCCAGGAGAGGTCGCCCCAGTCTGCCTGGGGCTCCCAAGAGGAGGGAGGAATAACCAAAATTGGAAGGCTTGAATTGAGCACCAACACCAACACAGGGGGGCTGTCTCCGCCAGGGGGAGATTATCCTGCATGCTGGTGCTAATGGTCATGTTATGGCCACGTAGGGGTCCGAATGTTACCATCATCGCCGAGGTCGGGATCATCTTCGGTAAATGTGTACCACCGATGTTGGTGTTGGCGTCATCATCTGGGCCTCCGACACATTGCGACATCGACAGGCCTTCGGAAAGTCCTGGCGCGTTTCCTGGGTCGGCGCTGGACCCCCCACACCACACCCCTTCCCGCGCGGGGAAGCGCTTGAGATGCCGCCAAGGGTCTGCGGATTGTGGTCCCGCGCCGACCCAAGGAATCCACCAGGACCTCCGACTCCGACAGTGCGTGTTTGTGCAGGTCGTTTGCCCGAACAGGAGGTGGCAGGGGATACGAGTAATGATGAGTAGGAGGAAACAAAGAGAGATGTGAGGAATATAGTATGGTTACGCTTTCTCTTCAGTGTGGGCCACCCAGGGACCTCTGGAAGCCTCTGAAGGCCCGTGGGGACATTCACGGACACGTCCAGGAACGTCGGGAGACCTCTGGAGGTCTCTGGGGACCGCCTGAGAGGAGGATGATGAGGGAGGAGAGGATAATTACAGAGGAGGAGGCATCCCGTTGCCAAATGCGCTTGCATGAATTTACCAACACTCCCTGGCCAGTCCAGCAGCCTCGGAATGCCCTCTCTTGTCGGCCCTCGTGGCGCAACTCTGGGTTCTTCCTAGCCCTGAAGCGCTGGCGCAGGCGAGTGATGAGCATAAACATACCATGGCGAAGAACAGAGCGAGAGGCAAACTGGATCATTTCGCGGAGCGTTCCCAGTCAATGTGCTGGGCCATCCGTAAGGTCGTTCTAACCCCTCACTCCCGCAAGAAGGTAGAGAAAAGCAGTGGAGGGTGTGCCGCCGCCGCCGCCGCCTCCCTCCCCCCGCTTGATGACGTTGTCCCCATTGCTCTCCCTCTCGCTCTGCCGAGTACGTGCTGCATATGTTCTCTGGCTGCAGGCGCGAAGGTGATTTCCAATGGTGCTTCGAGACGATGTTGGAAGCGCTCCTATCCAATCTTGCAGCTTCGGTGTAGGCATCACCAATCAGCGAGCGCATGGTGACCGCACCAAAGATGTTACGAGAAGGACTTGCGGGCAATCTTGCTATGTTCGGGGCGTGTTGCAGCGGTATTAGGTGGGACTCCTTGCGAGACCTGGTCGTCTGCCAGATATCTCCCTGTCACGCCAGATGCCCCTGGAGGGCGCAAGCCCGCCCGACCCTCGAGGTCTAGAGAACATCTGCGGGCGTTGGGTCATCCCACCTCTCGTGAGTCGGAGCAGATTTCCCGGGAATTCTTTACAAGGCATGGCCTTGTGGTATACCAGCCCTCGTGGAGCGCCCATCGGTGAACCCTCGCGTTCCTGACGCCCCCAATTCCTGGCACTTGCCTCAGGTTCGCCTGCGGCGCTCTCTCCCTGGGGCCCGTTCGCATCACATGCACCAATGCGTGTTCGGGGCTCACTTTCTGAAGCCTACGATCCTACTAGCGGTTCACCTTGGTTCCGTGACCAGTACTGGCCATCGCTCGGACGTCCATTTCCTGTTTTTTTGTTTGGTTTCGTGCGTGGTGTTTTCGCGAAATGATTAAGGATGCTCCTCGATGGTCCTCGCAGGAGGAAAAATGCACACGCCCGAGCGATGCCAAGAGTATGTTGGCTGCCAAACCTGAGCGCGGGCTCTGTGCGCCGCACCGCCGTGGAGTTAGGGGGGGTCGAGGAGGAAGGGCTCCGGCGAACGGCCCACGCCAACTCTCTTAACCCATCTGCCCTGTGTCGTTTCTTGGCGGCCACCAACACATTGCAGGAAACCAGGTCACGACTCCCAGAGCTGTGCGGTGCTTCTCCTCTCCCCCTCCTCGCGCCTGCCGGTTTTCTTGCCAGGCCACGACTTCGCTGGACCCGTGAGGGCGAATCACTGCAGTGGGCTGTCCAAGGCTGCAGGCATGTGAACGGCGCGGGGGGGAAGGACACGTCAGGGTCAAGACCCGACCCTCACTGGCCGCGCCGTCCGCCAGGCAGTGCCTCCCGAGTAAACCCGGGGCCCCGCAAGGGTCCGGCCGCCCAGCAGGTGGGACATCACGCCAGAAGCCATGAAGAACACCCGTGGCCATTCTCATGGCTACCCGCTCGTTTGTGATGGCAGCGAGTAGCCATAAGAAGCTGTGCTTCCCCACCTGGGCTTGCCTGAAGGGTTCTTACGCGTTTAAAGGAAGTTGGTGCCTCGGGGGGCTACTTTGCCCGTTCCTCGAAGGTTCCCCGGGTTCCTCGAAAGTTCCCCGGGTTCCTCGGGTTCCTGGCGGGCTCCTCGGGATCCCCGGGTTGCCTGGCCTCCCCGTTCCCTGGGTTTCCCGGGTTCCCCGGGTTCCTTGGGTTCCGCGGGTTCCCCGGGTTCCCCGGGTTCCCCAGGTTCCTGGGGTTCCCTGGGTTCCCCAGCTCCAGACTGGATGAGCCTGGCGGGCTTTCGGCCTTCAAAGGGTTTGAAAAAGGAACCGCTCTTGTTGCTGCACTCCTCTTCTCCACTCTTCTTCCTTTCATTTCATCCTCCTCTCATCCTCCCTCCTGCTCCGTCTTCCTCCTCCTCCTTCTCCTTCTTCCTTCAATCAGAATCCGCTTCCGCCAGGCGTTGTTTTTATATCATTTTTTTTTTTTTTTGTTTTTTTTTTTTTGTTTCTGGTCTGGGAGCTCAGAAAACTTGGCCAGGCGTTGGTTTCTCTGTTTTTTTCCGGTCTGGGAGCTCAGAAAACCTGGCCAGGCGTTGTTTTTCCTGGTTTGGGAGCTCAGAAAACCTGGCCAGGCGTTGTGTTTGTTCTGGTTGTTCTGATCAGGGAGCTCAGAAAACCTGGCCAGGCGTTGGTTTTGTTTTTCTGTTTTTTGTTGGTCTGGGAGTCAACGAAACCTAGCCTGGAGGTTGGGGGCTTGTGAACTACTGCAGTCAGACCAGAAAAAACCAAACGAAAAAAAACGCCTGGCCAGGTTTTGTGAGCCCCCAGACCAGAACAACCAGAACAACCAACGCCTGGCCAGGTTCTGGGAGCTCAGGAGAAAATGGCCAGGCGTTGTTTGTTTATGGTTTTTTGTTCTGGTCTGGGAGCTCCGAAAATCTGGCCAGGCATTTCTTGTTTTGTTATCCTGGTCTGGGAGCCCACGAAACCTAGCCTGGAGGTTGGGGGCTTGCGAACTACTGCCGTCAGACCAGACCCCCCCAACAAAAAAAACAGCGCCTGGCCAGGTTTTGTGAGCCCCCAGACCAGAACAACCAGAAAAAACCAACGCCTGGCCAGGTTTTGTGGGCTCCCAGATCAGAAAAACAAAAAACAAAAAAACCCTCCGCAGAGAGATGTGAAGATCGCCGAAGGCCTCCGAAATGTCCGAAGATGAAGGCTCGCCCCCGAGCCTGTCTTGGAGAGCGCTCAGAGCAGGATTCCGACGCTAAGCGGGCTATGCCGACCAGGCCCTGCCATCACGACCAGAATTGGCCAAAAAACTTCAAACCCCTCATGTCCCATCCTCCTCCTCCTCCTCCTCCTCCTCCTCCTCCTCCTCCACCTTGACCTCCTGCTCCTCCTCCTCCTCCACCTCCTCAGCCCTGCCTCCCCCTCTTCAATTGGTTTTCGGACCATCTCTCGGGGCCCAAACGGCCGTTCAGGACGGCTCTGGGCTCCCCAGAGTGCACTACTGGGTCCCCAGGAACTGCGGGACCACCCGACAAGCAGAGCTGAACAAAGACTCTTGAATCCCTCCCTCCCTCCCTCCCTCCTTCCCTCCATCTTCTTCCCTCCCTTCCTCCATCTTCTTCCCTCCTCTTGAATCCCTCCCTCCCTCCCTCCCTCCATCTTCTTCGCCACTCCGTTGGGCCCCACCGGCCCGTAATTAGCGTCAGAGCCCGCGGCCAGCCTCGTGCAGCCAGACTGCGCTCGACAAGGGCATCAAAACGACCCCGACGCACGCCCAACCCGTATCATGAGGATGCAAGACCAGGATGCAAGGGACCTTGCAAGGCTGCTTCGAGGCTTTTCGAGCGGGGCGCGGCCAGCGAAAGTGGCCAAGGATGGTCCGAGGAGGCCAGGATGCAAGGGTACCCTCGGGAAGGTTGCCCATCCTTACTATGCGGGTTGACTGTAACTTAGGCCTGGCAGCATCGGAAGCGGCCAAGAGGGGGGCGTCCAAGAGGGGGGGGCGCAAATCATGGCCGGCGGCATGTGCGCGGCCCCTGGGGGGGCCGAGGCACGTAATGAAACAAGAAGAGGCGCCTTGAGATCTGGGGAAATATCATGGCCCACGCCATGATATTCACCCCCCCCTAGTCATCACCCCCCTCTTTTCCGCCCCCGACAGCAGGGCGGCGGAAGGGCATGGGGCCGAGTGCTCCGGGAAGGCCCGTGCAGACCGCCCTTGCTGCTCCTGCGCGCAGGGCGCCCCTCCTCGCTCCCGCCTGCAGGGTGCTCGGGGCGCCCAGGCCATGCCTGCTCCACCTCCTCCTCCTCCTCCTCTTACTCCTCCTCCTTTTCCTCCTCCTCCTCCTCCTCCTCCTCCTCCTCCTCCTCCTCCATCTCCCTCTTCCCCCCTCTTCCTCGTTCTCTTCGCTGCTGCCTCTTCCACATCCTGCAGGGAGCTCCTCCTCCTCCTCCTGCCTGCTCCGACTCCTGCCTGCTCCGACTCCTCCTCTTCCTCCTCCTCCTCCTCCTCCTCCTCCTCCTCCGGCGCTCCTTCCATCCCTCCTCCCTCCTCCTCCTCCTCCTCCTCCTCCTCCTCCTCCTCCTCCTCCTTCTCCGCCCCCTCCTCCCTCCTCCTCCTCGTCCTCGTCCTCCTCCTCCTCCTCCTCCTCCTCCTCCTCCTCCTCCTCCTCCAGCGTTCCTGCCTCCACGGCGCTCTTCACGGGCGCCCAG